CATGTGAGAAAACACAATGACAAGCGAATTTCGGAGGAGAGCTGGCCGGCACAGGTCGCGTGCCTCGTCTCATTCGGATCAAACGGACATGCGTCTGAGGAGGCGTTCTATACCTTCTCTACAAGTTTACACTGCCCGCGAAGCCATCCACCGGCCAACGACCCTGAGATCCCGCGGCAGCTCACACTTTCATCAACGTCTACCCCTGCGTGCAGAGAGAAACACGACAATCATGTCGAAAATTTACCGAATACATCTAGCAGGCGGTAGAACATTGATCGTCTTTTCCTAACTATAATGCTGCTCGCTGGATGTACAATACCTCTATGACTCGGCGAAACTCAAGCCGGGCAGAGTGATCGAACTTGAGCCATTCGATCGTGGTCTCTACATCGAGTGCTCACATAAACGTACATACTCTAGATGACGGCCAACTTCCACGGTAGCCGTGGGCGACCCTCCACCATGATCACCATACCCTACGCCTTCAGCCTTCCAAGGTCTCAGCCCTCAGACCCCCGACTCTCTCAGCCCCCAGCCCCAACTGGGACGGAGGGAGTCCGGGAGCGCCATACGCGGTGAAAGTGGCAAGTGCCCCGAGTTTGGCATATCCTGCGCATACCATGACAGGAGGGGGCCGTAGGAAAAAAACAAAGCAGTAAATATTAAATACTAAATACTATACATATGGTAAGTACATATGTTAGTCGCCATCCCGCACTACTTGTTAAGGCAGTGTTATGACATCCCCGAATGACTGTGGCCGCCACCACACCACTTTGGTGTCGATCTAAATGGGCAAAGTTTGATGGCAAAACACAAACCCTCCTGTCATATTTGGATCCGAGTCTGATACGGCCCTTTTGCAAATTGGGTGGAATAATAATCAGCACATTCCTGCTGGGATCCTCCGAGGGTTGCATCATGATACATGATGGATTCCGTCTCATTTGGCGATTCAGTACGGCACTACAACCACCCATCACTATCATTATTTCACTGCGGACTCACTGCCTCGATTAATTCCCGATCAAATCCTGCTACGGTGCAACAACATATAGTCAATTCGGTCGTAGTCACAGTCACTTTCTGATCTTTACGAAATGACCGTCCAGGGTGTGACGTCCATCGAGCGGCCAAGAGACTGTCTCCAAACCAAGACGGCTTAAAGCGGGCCAGCTTTGCGCGCGTGGCACCAGACAAGGCAGTTTAAAAACTGGAGTTGCTTCGGTTCTCTCGGTGCAGCGGGATAGACTCTTTGGGAAGAGATGCTCGATGATCGCAGATGGGGGGGGGGGGATCTTTAAAGCCCCCCTGGTTTGATTGCGTTTGCTGCCCACGAAATGGTCGAATATATCCTCAGAATGAGCGGACGACAATTAATGTGGCTGACTAGCTGAGAAGGTCCCTCTACCTTAGTCCGGAACCCCGGTGGGCCAAGAGATAGTATACGAGTGCTACCTTTGATACACCCATTTTCTTATTCGACAATGGGAAGAACAAGAGGATTTAACGGTGAACTGTGAATGAGATGGTGAATATGCAGTACATGACCCCATGCTTGGTTGATCTACCGTACTGACTGCTAGCACTCTACAATGCGTATTGGTAGAAACAGTCAAGATACTACACACTGACACAGTGCACACTGCACACCACACACGTAGTATGGCGACTGTCAGTCTAGCTCATCTCAAAATGGTGATTGTACGTTCCCACAAATTTTGCATGACTACATTCAACAATCGACAGGGACATCGATCCCCTTGACCGGAGCACCACTGGGGTAAGTGGAGACTGGAGAATGTCCGTGGGCTGTCGTGGACTCGCAGGATGAAGTGCATCCAACTAGTGTGAAAGGGACCGGCACGAATCGGGTGGAAGAAGAACACCCTCGCGATGGGCATTTCCTACCGACTCAGTAACGACTAGCGCCCGAGAATGCACAGCGCAACTGCACACGGACGCACGAGCAAAAGTTCGGGGTAACAAAAGGACACGGGAGCTGGCAATCGTGAGCGATCCGAGTGCTGGCTTGGTCTTTACGTCAGGTTGTGTTGCAGCCCTGGTGATGTCTGTTGACAACTTGACACTACTACTACTACTACTACTACTACTACTACTACTACTACTACTACTACTACTACTACTACTACTACTACTACTACTACTACTACTACTACTTCTACTACTACTGTCACAAGGACTCCGGACGGACTCGGGTGTATTTAGCTTCTGACCTCTCTAGCGCTACTGACGCGAGATGGAAGTACTCCTCACTCTCAACAACAACCATCAAATCCCGATGGGGAACCCCCCCCCCCCCCCCCCCCCCAAGATTAGCTTTTGGAATCTCTCCCTCTCTGGTTGATAACGGGGTTGCTTCGCATATCCGTGTCTCCTTGCACGATCCTCCCAAAGAGGTAGTCAAGTCACGGCCGCTGCGGACGTGTAGAGGATGGAAAGCCATTTTGGGTTTCGAGCGGCTATCCCGCTAGGAGAGAGAGACGGACGGGTGGGACAACCCCCCCCCCCCTCTTTGTGACGTTGTCGAAGCGATATCGGGTGAGTTCTCAGTTGATTCTCTCTGGAATGGCAAGCAGGAAAGACAAGATTTTGTGTTCTCTATTCACGTCCACATTACATCTGCGGGAAGTTTAAACGCCGGTGGAAGTTCTCCAGTCTCGTCCTTGTTGATGCAGGCGGGCGTGCAGAGGTCGATATCTTCTATTGTTCTTCCGACTGTTGATTTACCGGTTGGTAGCAGCGCATACACAACCTATTATACCAATGTTTTGTTCCCTGGTTGTCCCTTGGTTGTCTCTTTAATTGGCAGATATCAGACAATCCATTGTCTTTGTATGCTAACCCAAGATATTAAACACGGCGCCGAACAATCAATGTCAAGAGGCTACGGAGATCCACCACGTGAAATGTCTGATCACAAAACAATGCGTGTGCGTCACTCACTTGATTAAAGGCCTTGACACGTGCCAATCTATCCCAGCTGACTACCGGTCCAATATCATAGACAAGCTTCTTTGAAAAGTCCCTGATTCTTAGCTTCTGCCCATCATCAACGTCCGGTCCTCAGATGGGAATTAGATCGAAAGTGATCTCCCCCGGCTACAGCAAGTCCTGGCGTGGACAAGCAAAGATTTGTCAAATGCCCTTGATACTCAATAGTCGATACTCCAGAACACCTCAGTCACCAATTCAATCACCACCTCGGACTCCCGGATATGGGTGACTGCACTTGCCCGCTGTCAACATTCCATCGAGAATAGGCTTGGCAGTCCTTACTGCGAGATCCTCATTCTGCCAAGCCTGTTCATACGCGACCGCAACAATCCTCGCGACCAGGCAGTGAGAATTGTGCAGTATCATCAGTACATTCTATACTGTGGCAGGTTGCCAGCAGAACAAGTGCAACATACAAGCAACCCACTCGGATACACGAGCGACGGTGGCCATCGTCATGGACAAGGGAAACAAAACAATGTGAAAAGATCATCGAGACATACAGCACAGCGGTGATGCAATGCCACTTCATCGTCTCGTGTGCGAGAAGACGTGTTCGAATACAGTATGCATCTCGGCCCATCCCTGCCGTACAGTGAGAGATCAAGAGCGAGAGCGAGAGCGAGCGAGCAAGAAAGTCCATTACTACTGCTCCTCAATGGCGGACAAACAGGTATACTGCAGTGACTGCCCTGAGTCACTGACTAAAGTCATACTGCCAACCTTGACATTCCCTATCCCCTCCTATTTCCAGCCCCTGATGAGACCCCCACAATAAGGAAGCAAATATAGAGATGAGGATTCGGACAAGCAAGGCGTCTTCAGCCCGCCAAGAATTCGAGCAGGACTATTGGCAATGGACGATGCCAAGGGCGATCACGTCGATCCTTGCGCTTCCGAACCGTGCAGGAAAGGGAGGTTCTTGGCGCTCTGTTGAGGACTGAGGAGTGCGAGCATGACCGGACAGACACATTCAGTACTCGATGGTCGATACTACTGAGAGTAGTCGACTGTACAAAGACGCTGTCCTGAGGTTGTACAGCGCTACGGAGTACAGTACGAAATATGTGAAACGACTGCCAAGACCCTGCATCGGCCCAGAATGCACATTCATCAAGGGCGCACTGCGGACTGAGCGGTTTCAATTCGAATCAGGCAATCGTGATACAGTATCGTACAGTTTACTCGACATACATACAGTACGTACCACGTACTGTAGTCCTGTGCGTACAGACAGTATGCACAAATGGTAAGGTATTAACACTCTGTCAAACCCAATGCTGCATTCTGACTACAGACCAAAGTTAGACCGACATCATGGTAGCTTTGGGGATAAATTAGGCAGCACAAGCAAAGGCAAACAATCGCCCAAAGCTTTGGCCCTACAACAGACTACCGTCATCGAGTGGGAGTCGGACCGATTCGGTCGTGGGACGCGTAACTCGGTACATGGAAGGCCTTCGGGGCTGAGTGCATACATACACCCGGGTTGCAGCCTCATCTTGGGATTGTGCTGTTTTCTCGGTGGCCTGAAGATAATGATATGGCTGCCCATTTTGTTGCAGTCTGCGCCACAGCCAGGCAATAGGCAACGACATCGTAGTGCTGCTACTGTGAACACCCGCTTGGGTCTGGGTATGGCCACGGCAAGTTGTAGCGAGGGCCGAGTAGCCCGAGTTTATTGAGGAGCCGGCGCGGTGCCGGGTAGTACTGAATGGAATGAAAGACCTCCTGATGCCATCATTATCCTAGTTCTCTATGGCCGTACGCGTTGCGCCCGATGCCGTCTCTTGGCAGTCACACGACCGAGAACACCAAGTATCAGATGCCAAATACAAAGAAAGACGTTCACCCGAGAGATCAACTCGTTGCGTCTGCTGGTGAGAATGACGAGATGAAGGTCATGAAATTGTTTGAGCCACTGGACGGGGGAATTTTGTATTATACAAAAGACGATGGACAAAAAGAGACATGCGCTTTCAGATGACAAGCCATTTCTCTGTGATGTCCTTGGCTGTAGACACGTCGCCTCCAAGAGCATATAGGCATTGTAGAGCATATGCAGCCTCCCGTGAAAAGTCCTCGACGAAGCCTTGACCGTGACGGGCCGATGACTCTTCCACACCGATCATCTGGATATCATCGTCATTGTCCATGTCTGTACTTCTCTGTGATGTTTCCTGCTGAATCTGTTCACCCAACTGAAGTACTCGTTGGTAACCTTCAATAGCCAAATGGGACAGATTGAGGCCATGCCAGACGCGCGCAAAATTGAACTCGACCTCCTGGAGTTCTTGCAGCGCAGCACCGTGCTTTCCACGCACACGGCGATATTCGTGTAAAAATGACAGGCCTTGCATAATAAGGTAGTGACGGTTCTCGCACTGCCGCTTATGCGAATGATGAATGTAGCATAACGCAATGGAAAGTAGCACCACAGGGTTCTGGTCATCCAGAGCGTAGGCACGGAAAAAGTAGTTCAGAGCGGGATAGAAACTGTTTCCGGAGTACAGGATGTGCCCATATAAAACCAGCAGCGCAATGTCAAGTTCATAGGCCGGAACGCTGTTCCCATCCTCGTCCTTCGTAGACAGAGCTGCGCGTTCTCTCCAAACAGATTGTCGTGGCGGCTTAGGTTTACCATCCGCGTCCGGTAGAGTAAAGTCCATGGCCTTGATCTGCCGGAGCATGAATTTCATACTTGGAGAAGAGTTGAACAATGATTTTCGCGGGTTGCCCGCGAGGTGACTGAGCATGGAGAACAATCGATATGTGTCCGTGACGAACTGATATTCCTTTACGAACCATCGAGCTTCGAGTGCGAGGGCTTCTTCATCCTGAGCACGAAGTGCACATGCTGGAGATTGTTAGATTTGCTCGAACGTGTTGAAGCCCGGCGAGTACAATGAAGAGACTTACTGAACCAGCAGACATGGATCATTCGGGATTTTCGCTTGTCATGGAACCACACACTGGCAGTCGCGGCGCCCTCAAGAGCTTCGTAAGCATCCATCGGTTCTCCTTGTTCAGTGACACGGAGGGCATATTGAAGAAACAAATCCAGCCAGACATCAAAGGAAATGCCGTGATACTCTGTCGGAATTGCTCCTTGCAGTAGCTCGTCTTCCTCAAGCTCAGCTAAGCGTTCACTGTTAGTTAAGCCCTCATTCAAGCCGCATCCTTGGCAAAGGTCTTAATTACCTCTCGACTTTTGAAGACGTCCCGCTATTTCCTCCATCTCGTCCAAGAAGGCGTTCTCCTTTGACCCATTGTTTCTTCGCGATGCTTGGCTCGCGTAACCTGAAAATTCAGTTGTGCGCGCCATCGGATAGAAGATCCGATTGGAACGGAACTCGCGCACCAAGGCATCCGCAATATCCAGCCAGTCTTCAATTGCGTCGAGGTTCCCCGCTCTGACTTTGGGCTCCAGCTGCTGCAGCATAGCGTAGAGGAACTTGATGTCATCAGAGCGACTGCCTCTTGCAGGACCTGTGGACGGCTCAGTCTCGGCCTGCGCCATGGGCTTAGGTGCAAGTGGTCTGAGAGCAGCAGGATCAGATCGTCTGAATTCAGCAGCCAGCTGTTCCAGCCGCGCATCTTTTCTCCTCCTTCGAGTTCTGGTCTCTTGTCGACTAAGCAGAACGGCCTCGTTCACATACTTGTAAGCCTGGTCGGGCATTCCTAAACTATCGTAGAGCTTGGCAAGTTGCGCGCGGGACTCGATATTGCTCGAATCGTGGTCCGCAACAGTAAGATAGCAGCTTTCGGCATCCTCGATCTTTCCCAACTGCATGCAACAATCGGCCATGGCCAGGAAAAAGCCCACATCTGCGTATCCTGATGTTTGTTGAATAGGTGCATAGAAGCGGAGCGCCTCTTCAAGTAATCCGCGCTCTTTCAGAGCATCTGCGACCTCTCTGAAGAGATCACCATAGTCGTATATGCGAGCTCCTTCAGAGATGTCATCTGGGTTCAGGTACTCTAAGTGTTGCTGACGGATGATATTTGTTAGTTGACGTGAATATATGGCAGCTCACCTAACACCAAACCCCGTACGTAGTAACTCACCATCGCTTCGCCGTAATTCTTGTCGCCCATCTTGAGTCTGAATATGCCCATCTTCACGCGTAGTTCCAGTGGCAGTCCGAGTCCGTAGCTGTCTCGTGGCCAGTGGCCGGGCACGTAACCGTCGGTTTTGATACGACGCGGGGAGTCTTGAGAGTCCCATTCTCGGTCATCATCCTCAAAGTCAACCCACATAATGTCATCTTTCCGACCAAGTATCCATCTGGAGAGATTCTTAAGATGATGAAGCCCCTCTCTTGGCCGGTTGACATATCCAAAGAGTTCGGCGTAAATGTTGATATCAGACCACGAGAAGTCTCGAACCCGATCCGGATCCAGTGTCAGGAAATGTTCCACGCTTCTGGACCAGTAAACAAGTGCCCGATTAACGTCGTTGAGATCGATGAAGATCTCGGCGATGTATCGCAGGGCTCGTGTGCTGTAGGGCTTTTCGTGCAAAATCCGCTCGTATTCGGCGGCAGCTCTGCCATTGTGACCGAGTTCCCGGTACAGGGCTGCTCTTTGAAAACGCACGTTGTAATTGCCAGGTTGAATTTCAACGATACGACTGTAGCAGTAGATGACGTCCTTCAACACGGCCCCCCGACTTTCACCTGCACGGTCCAGCAAAAGACGTGCTACCTTCATCCAAACGGTCGGATCCTTCGGTCGAGTATGCGCACCATTCCAAAGCGCCTGCAGAGCGCGCATATTGTCACCTTTCGCCAGCCAGATTTCCGACAAGAGCGAGTGGGCAGGGAACATTTCGGGGTTGATTTGAATCGCCTGATTCACATACTCGTGGGCCCGATCATAATCGCCATCAATGAAAGCCGAGGTCGCCTCTGAATGGAAGATCTTGAACTCTGGCCCCGGATCCAGTGCCTTACGCGGTCCTCGTTTGACACCTTTCCTGCCGCGAGCGCCATAGCGACCTGAGAAGCGACCTCCACCCCGTCGGCGATGGCGGGCCGCGACAGAGTCATCGGACCCTTCATCTTCAGACTTAAAATCTTCGTCGCTGTCAGTAACAAGTCAGCATTTACCGACACTATCTTTCGCAAAGAAAACCACAAGCTGCGCTCACTCCATCGCCATGAAGAATTCATACCTGTCACTTGCACTATCTGATTGCTCATACTCGAGGTCATCATCGTCCATCCCATGGACGTAGCTCTGATGGGCTACTTGCCCATCGTCAGACTCTTCGCCAGTACCATAGGAAAAGGCATTCACTTGCCCAGGGTCCTCGAATTGCATCTGTGCGAAGGAGTCTCCATACAATTGAGGATCAATTGCCGGCACATGATGAGTAGCTTGAGAGGGTGCAATCTCGTCTTCTCGCCACGGATACTGTATGGACTCGTCGATATCCGGGTATGAGTATATTGGCTCCGCGGGAGACGAATAATCTACAGGAGATGGTTCTGCCATAATCATGAGGCTTGGCCGGCAAGGCAGACCATGCGAGCCTCAGTAAATAGCAGGCGTTCCTTTCTCTTCTCGTTGAGTGGACAGGCAGGGAGCGCCCTGTCAGAGGAGTAAGGTGACTTGAAACCTCGATTCACGGTGAATTGGGGTGTTTCGAGATTGTAGAGCCACTTCCCAAATTGTCAATGATGAGCCACGCGCATGCAAAACTAGGCAGTCTGAGCCCAGCATGAGCCCGGCCTGGACCGTGCGAGTCGAGCGTGTGGGCACCAAGTCTCACTCTTGTTCACCTCGCCTCGATGGTCGTTTCAGCCTCCCATTCAGGCACAGCTGGAACCGAGCTGGCCCTGCTTATTCATACACAGCAGGACTCAGTCGCGGCGAGTCGGCTAACTTGACAAGAACCAGCGGATGGATCTCAGTCGGGTGAACTAAGATAGTGAGAATCAAAGAAGAAAATGATAAGCACAGATTGACCACTTTCACGCACTCCGATGGGAAATGCGGATTCTGCTGTACCTCAACAAGCTGGCCAGAGAAGGTCTCCAGCTGCAGTAGTTTTTGAGTGTCTTTTCATCATTCTCTAGTGAGGTTCACGCCGAGTGCACTCCCGGAGCTCGCGTTCCAGAACCCCGTGACTCTGAAACCACCGAAAAAAAAAAAGCCTCTGTTGCCTTATCCCGCCCATCCCTGATCCAACCCGACCCAACCCAAACCTCCTCTCTCAACTTCTCGATTCTCTCCTCTCTTCACTCCTCCACCCTCACCTCCCCCTCCCCCTCCCCCCCCCTTCTTCTCCCGCCAACTGATCCTTTCCTTTTCTCTTTGCTTTTGGAGACAGCTCTGGCTTGCTGTGTTTGACACACTATTGCCTCCTGCTCCTTGACTTTCCTTCGTTCCAGTCCACTTGAACGCCCAAATCCCCCCCCCCCCCCCACCTAATAATCGGGAGCCATCTACTTTTGGCTTTGTCCTCCACTCAAAAAAATCGAAGTGCAGCCCACTGGCCTGGTCTGTGCTCACTTCGACTGTGGTCGCCGCCAACATTCGCGTGATCCTACACGTCTGATTTTGTTGAAGGACGCGGTTGATTTCTTAGTACGCAAACTCAGCAGGCGCTGCCGGTGTTTTGCAGTAATCATACCCAAAATCACGAAACATTCTCCAGTCCTCCTGGGGCAATCGGTGTTTCTTCGCAGCTCACACACTTGTTCCACTGTCATCTGTGAGCCATGGCCAATCATATGATTGGCAACCGCAACAGCACTCCAGAGGCTGCTCCGAATGCCTCGCTGCGTCCTCCATCGTCAGCCCGCAATCTCGGATCACACCAGCTGCGAGCCTCTGCGGATATGTCTGGGTTCCCCTCGCCACTCTCCTCGCGGAGCCTGCGCCCGGCCTCGGAAGTGTTTTTCAATCAGCAGACGCAAGGGCAGAACTCCGCAGAGGAGGCGTTGGATCGCGCTGCTCAGCAGTGGCTCGCTGATATCGATCAGTATCAGACTACATTGGAGGAGATGGCTGCTGCTACCCTTGACCAGGATTTCAAGGACGAACTGAGCGCTATCGAGCAATGGTTCCGTGTGCTGAGTGAGGCCGAACGAACGGCGGCTCTGTACGCATTGCTGCAACAGACCACCCAGGTGCAGATCCGATTCTTCATCCAGGTTCTGCAGCAAATGTCTCAAGGCCATCCTATGTCCGGACTTTTGTCTCCAGCGAACTTTGGTGAAAAAGGTCAGTCTATTGAGTATCTTGAATTTTGCCAGGCACCTCTCTCTCATGAGGCAAACTGACACCTTTCGCTCTCGACAGATGCCATGTCTAGCCGCTTGAACGACGCGATGTCGAAACTCAACATGGACAGCACCTCACGAAGCTCCATGGGCCGGCCCCCACCCTCCCCAGGCGCGAAACGTAACTCTGGCTTGGATTCCAGTACCATCAACGCCATGTTCCCTGATGCTGCGGCGGCTATCGCGAAAAAGAAGGCGGAGTTCACGCAGCAGACGGGCAATGCCCCCCTTCAAACCGGAACAGTGCTGTGTACGGAGATCGCACTTCCTTCGTTGCTCCCACCATTTCCGCTCCTGACAACAACTCGGACAACTTGGGACAGCCCCCAGCGTCTCCGTGGGGCCAGCGTGGCGGCCTCTCAGCAGATGCTCAGCCTCCTATCGCACGGCCCAAGTCTTCCTCCGGTCACCAGCCCATGGGACAGTTCAGCCAGTCAGGCATGCGTTCTCCGATGCCCCAGACTGCCACCGTGCCCGCACCGGAGATCGAGCCTCCACTGCTTTCGCCGTACAATGTGGGAAACCACAGCTGGGCTTCGATGACTAACACACCCATGACAGCGACCTTTGGACATCAGGTCAATGGACCTAACAACCAAGCTGACATGGTCGCCAACGCCACTGCGATGAAGCTTGCCGCCTTGTCTACTGTCAACAACCGCATAGCATTGGATGATGCTCGCAAGTATCGTCGAGCTCGCTCGAATGATGGCCAGGGCAAAAATGCGTCCAATAATCCGACCATTGCTCAGAGCTTGCATAGCCCTGGCCTACACGGCTCAATGACCAGTCATATGTTGGGTGCTCAACAGCTCGCGGCGTTGCAAGCCCAGCAGCAAGCTGCTCTCGCTGGACGACGGTCGCGGCCCACCTCTCCCGGGATTGCCATGCAGGGCGGCGGTGGTCTCGGTGCGATGAGCTTCACCTCCCCGCAGAACAACGGCTTCTTGGCTGCCTATGACCCGAACAACCCTCTCATGGGAAATGCCCTGGGTTCTCTGGGCATCAATCAGTTCGGACTCGGCGGCGAAGGCTATCTCTCTGACCATTCGGAAGTGACCCGTGGTCGGTCGCCACGTGGTCGTCGTGGTAGCTCGAAGCCGCCAGAGGATCCCACCGACCCTACCCTTCTGAAGGATATCCCCAGCTGGCTGCGATCCCTTCGGCTGCACAAGTACACGGACAACCTCAAGGATCTGAAGTGGACCGAACTAGTTGAACTCGACGACAAGGCCCTGGAGGAGCGTGGAGTCAACGCACTGGGTGCGCGAAACAAGATGCTCAAGGTGAGTTTGCCTTTACGATTCTAACAACGGACGCACGCTCATTTCTTGGCCATGTTTTTGCTAATATTCTCGTCTCATGATAGGTCTTTGATCAAGTTCGTGAAGCTCGTGCCGATGGCAAGCTTGACAATATGTCATAAGTCTATGCCTTGGTGATTCTCATTGGAAGCATTAGATGGGACTAGGTCTGCGATCGTTGTCCCCCTTCTGCTTGCCTGCTTTCCGCATCTTTCCTGCCACAGCGGTTGTATGTGATTGGCATTTTCTCCGGCATTGAAATCGTGTGTCTTGTTCTTGGATGTCTTTTTTTTTTTTTTTCTTTTTTTCACTTTACTCTTATGATCTTTCCCGTCTCTACTTTTCTTTGGTTTCGAACTGTTTCTCTTCTTTCCCCTTCTCTTCCTTTCCCCTTCAGTCACTTCATTCCCATCAGTGATCTTTTTGTTTACCCTAATGCGATGGAGATGGAACTTGGCATGTTTTACACGCAGTAATGTATTCAAGAAACGGTCTCATGAGGAAGGAAACAGTTCTGGGCTTCAAAATATTGTCCAAAAATGGCTGGGGATGATCGTAGATACACACATGACAATTCCTTACATTTCCCCCCTCTCACGTGCGTCAAATAAATAGCGGACTTGGTCTGGATATCTGTACTTGGTTAGTTGCTACTACGCAGAAGCAAGTAATTTACTCCAAAATTCCTGCCGAGGACGGTTTGCATTGCGAATGAAGCAATCCATAATTTCGGATCAACTCCAGCCCCGGTTCCAACCAACCTACAGTACCTCGTACTCGTAGTACCGACCATGTGGCCCGTGCGCCAGATAGCAACCCGGCGGATTTGGGGAAACTCCGAAGCGTCGACTTGCTCAGCACCGTTCAGCCCCTCTTGCTCTCCACGCATGTCTTTTATGGGTTCGTTCAGCGCATTTCTGAACCACGTGCGCGCCTGACTTTAAATACCATTTCATCCAGCGTCATCATTTCAACGAGTCAACAACGAGCGACTCGCAATCAAGTCGCCCCCTGAGGTCCAGCCTCTCCACGAAGCATTGGGCGATTGAAAGCAGTGTATTCTTTTGGATCGTTTACTTGTCTGAATAGACAAAGTCCGAAGTGACTGCAGCTCACTCAAGCAACGTCTCTCGATCTGGTATTCAAATCGCTGCAACAATGGCACCGACAAAGGCAGAGCTCTCGCTGCTCATCAACCCTCTTGTCCCCGAGGCTGTGCAGCACAATAACCGTGTATGTACTCTCGTCCCGCACAATTCACACATATCCAAAAAGACATGCGACCTCCACCAATGCTTCCGACCTCAAAAAAGGCAACAACTAATCTCAATTTAGGTCCTATCATCCCTCCACTCCCTCACAGCCTTCCTCCTCGGTCTCTCCGCAGGCATCCTAGCTCTGCAATCCACCACCGGCTTCGCATTCTACTTTGCCGGAACCGTGCTTGTCTCGGCCCTGTTCCACGTGGTCATACTCAAGCGCTCCTCGGGCGCCGGTGCTGGCGCCTATTTCCCCGGGAGTAGCGGCGGCGAGATCGAAGGGCAAGTCCGTATGGAGGGCAGCGCGGTACGCTTGGAAAAGGGCGGGAAGAAGGGGGGGTTATATCTTGCGGAAGGGCGGCTGGAGAGATGTCTGGTTGGGCGGTGGTGTGTTGAGTGAGGCGTTGAGTGGGTTTGTCTTGGGTTGGGCTGGTGTAGGTGGTGTTTTGAGGTAGATGGCGAGCTCTCTTTCTCTCTCGGTGTATTTTTGACAGACAAAAGGCACGTGAATATGAGAAGGAGGAATGAGGGAGCCCATGTTCTTCGTGCTTGTTCGTTTCTTGTACGGGATCTTGTTTTCTTCGACTTTCCTGGTACTCTTTGCGACTGCTGTTTGGGCATTTCCGCTTTTGCATCCACGTTTTGTGTAAACAAGGTGTATGCAGGTGGTGACGCATTGTACATACTCTGTTCCGATCTACCGTGAACCCAAAATGAAGCTTCAAGTGCGACTTCACGAAGGACATCTGATCACAATTTAGACCAGGACGCCCCCCCCCCCCCCCCCCAAATCAACGCAAGAAGAAAATGGCCCCTACTTGACGGATTGAGGATAAGTCACTCCCGGTTGACAGAATCATATGGATACGCTCATGACATTCACATCACTGATAGAGTCATAGCAGAGTGCTGTGTCTTTCAGCCTTGAACCGTTCTCAGCCGCGTACGATGCTTCTTCTTTTTCTCCTCTGACTTCCCCTCCGCTTAACCCAGACCATGAGAAGAGATCTCAGCTCGCGAGCGCTACTGGACCCAATTCCCGCAGATATAGGAAGGACTCATGTGCAAATACACACCATCTGGATCGGACTACGGCGCACGCTGTATTCCATGTAGTTTTCAAAATGCCAATGCTGTATATAGTCTATACTCTTTACTACTGAGTCAGTAGTACTGACGGCTGGACCAGTAGGATCTGAACAACACACTTACACGTTTCCATGTGATCTGCAACAAGGCCCCCTGTGTTCCAACCTAAGGTTGAACCGATCTATACTTCACCTGCTGGAAGTTCGAGGTCCTGTAAGCCTGACCCTTCCACCCTTCCTACCAAAGTAGACCCTGGTGCTCGGAAGAGTTCGAGCTTCCTGCAGCTCGAACTTCTATTAACTACCAGGTCGGGTTAGGTTCGGACATGGCATCCACCTATCCTATAGAACTAGAGAGGTCTGTGGCAGAACCGTCTCCCGGCCTGGATACGGAGTAATCCAGGCTCGAGACGTATGGGTTGCGTCCATGGATTGATAGTTCCCTGTCTTCGGTAAGTGATCCCATTGGAAAGTGTTGTGATAAGGAGACTTGGAGGGACTGGAAATGGACCGGACTCGACCTTATGAGGGCGGTGGAATGGCGTGGCGCACTGATTGTCTGGGTCTGGGAGGGTCAGCTTGGTGCACGTGTTGTGATGCCAGAACGAAGACTTCCAGATTGAATGTGAAAGGTTATCTGTTGTTTGAGGGAGGGTTCATGTCGAGATTGCTGGTGAAGACGGTGAAGACGGTTTACGTTGGGATGACACTGTTTGGAAAAGGGATTCGATAGGATGGGTTGAAGAGTCATGCATATTAATTTCACGCAATCTATCGAATTCAGGGGGTATTCCTAGCAAAAGTGTATGTGCAAGATATTAACAGAAATCGATGCATCAGGCGGTAAATACAAAACAAAATCAGTGGGAATCGAGTTGTACAACACTCCATGCATTCGCAACAGCTGAGCAGATACAGCGGGGGAAAGAAAAACAGAACCCAAATCATCCAACATTTGCCCATAAATCTTCAAACCCAAAATTCGCTCACAGACAGTAATCAACCATTACGCCATGTTGGAGATAAAAAGGGACGCCGAGACAAAGTCTGAGCGAAAAGAAAAAAGACCAAAAAAGACAAACAAAAGACAATACAATCATGGTTCAGACTCGCGGTATGGAACCATCCCGATCCAGAGGGCGTGCCGGCACATGCATGCTCGATGGCGACCGAGTCTCGGTGCATCGAGGAAGAAAAGAAAAACCAAAGATGACAATAAAGTACTCGAGATGACATGTTCAGACATGCGGAATCTCATTGGAAGAGTTGGCCACCGCACTCTGTAGAGCACTCGTGAGGTCAATGTGGAAGAACGGCCGGTTCATACCTTGCACGATGGCGACCTTGCGCCGATTGTTGTTGTAGGCCTTGCTGGACGTCAAATCACGCGACAATTTGTCATCGTGGACCGATTGAATGGGTGAGCTGTCTTGCGTGGACGAGGTCTCAATACCATGATTCTCCACCTCAGGCTGGTCCTTGTGACCAGCCTCCATATCCTTGGGGTATTGTGTCTCGCGCTGGTTGTTCATCATCTCTGCAAGAGCGGCGGCCGAGGAGCTGCCCTCAATCTCGGCGACACTGAAGATGGGCTTCCAGCGGTGGAACCCATTGCTCGACGTCGGAGTAGGGAAGCCAAAGCCGGCGGCGGACAGGGCACGTTTGGTCCAACGATTGTTGATGTGGGCAAAGTGCCATTGCACGGTACGGGGGGACGCATACATGTCCAGCTGATTCCGAACATCGATCAAGTTCTGAATCGAGGTCACGTCAACGTTATTGACCGATGCAAAGTCCAAAATGACCGCTTGTAACAGGGGGCGGGAATCTTCTTCATCAACCTGCTGGCCACGGCGGGGACCAGGGTCATTCCACGGACGGTCACCGGGATTGCGGAAAGCGGCAGGATTGGTGCGACGAGTGTGCTTGAAGATCGTCTGTACCAGGTAGTCGGTGTAGTGGTTGGCATTGGGGTAATTGAAGCCCTCGGAGAACCGATAGATGAAGATGCCGGGATGAGGTTGCTCGATCTCAATTTCGGGATTGGAGCCGTCGGCGTGGTTGACAGGCAGGAAGATGGATCGGTGAGCGTGATCTTCATCGTTTGACGAGGCCCGATTGGGTCCCAGGGAGCCATACTTGCCGTCACCATCGAGGAGATGGTCGCCAACGACCGAGTGAACCTTGACCTGGCCCAGGAACTGACCACGGGCCTTGGCCAGCCGGAACAGCAGCACCGCTAGTGAAATGATAATGGTGCAGTAGATACCAGTCTCAATGGACGAGAAGATGGTGACGAAGACGCCGATGAAAAAGATGATGACATCCAGTGGGGCGACCCGCCAGAATTGGTAGACTGTGTTGGGGGGAGTGATAAGATCGCCCACGGCGTGGATGATGACACCGGCGAGGGAGGCTTTGGGAATGTAGAAGAAGAGGGCGGGAAGGGCGTAGATGGCCAGGAGGACGACCGCGGCGGTGATCACACCAGCCAAGGGAGTCCGGACGCCGGCCTTGGACTTGATCGCAGTACGCGAGAACGAACCCGTCGCGGGGTAGGCACCAAGGAAGGGACCAAGCAGGTTACTGATACCGATGGCGACGAACTCCTGGGAAGGGTTGATGGTGTAATTGTTCACACGTCCGAAGGACTTGGAGATGGCAATGTGCTCGATCAGGAGCACGATGACCGCAGCCGGAAGCTGGCCTGCAAACGCACTGATCACCTTTGGATTCATCTTGGGGACGGCCGCATTCTGGAAGCCTCGGGGCACATGTCCCAACAGCCCAAATGCAGGATGATCCTGGCGGTGGATGTTCACCGCCGCACTGATCATGGTGTAAAACAAAATCACAAACACGGTTCGCAGAGTCGAGATGAAGAACCAGGTTTTCGCCCGATGGGGCTGCTTCTTCGCCGCATAGGTGCATGCAGATCGGATGATATACAGCATGGCGCAGGCAGTGATACCCATGGCTGCATCCAGGGTAGAGCTCGGGAGTGCCTTGAGCGTGTCGATGATGGTTTTATAGGTGGCGCCGCGGGTGTTGACTTGAGTGGTCTGGCCGAGCATGGTGGTGACTTGGCCTGCGCAGATGTTGATGGCCGAACCGGTCATGAAAGCCGAGATGGCAGGCAAGGGGATAAAGTCCACGATGAAGCCCAGCCTGATGAGACCGAGGAAGCAAACGATGCCACCTAGAATCACGGCCAAGGTCGACGCCACCTCATGGGGAGGTACCTCGGGAAGCTTCTCTGTCACATCAATCACGATCGTACCTGTGAGAGTAGACATGACGGCCACCGGCTGTCGTGAGATGAAGACGGTCAGCTATACTCAGACACACATGCCCGTCACTTCGAGCGTAAGAATGGGGTAGTGTACACACCCCAATGGTAATGTCCTTGGAAGTTGCAAAGAACCAGTAAAGTAACACACCCATAAAGGACGAGTAAAGACCGAATTGGACGGGCAAGTCCGCCAACTTGGCATAGGCCATACCTTGAGGCACGACGACCGCACCGACCGTAATTCCTGATAGAGACCATTATCAGCACGACCATCCCATGCGAGCCGGTAAGTTGTTCATTCCGTGGTTTTTTTTTTTTTTTGGCTACCTTGGAAACAGGCGGAGACAGAGATGGCAAGGACACGTACCAGCAACGAGATCACCGAGCAGCCATTGCACGTTGTAACGACCAATCCATTGTAAAAAGGGGAAGAGGTTGATGAAGTAATTCACGACCTGCTGTCCGGTGGGGGTGATTTCTTGAATCCATTCAATGGTCGTGGGCTCGGGTTCATTGTACGAGTAGGTGTCGACCGTGCCGACAGAAAAGGTCGACTCGCCACGAGTGACGGGGTCGCTGGATGCGCCCAAGGGGTCTCGGTAGGCGATTTTGATACCCAGCCCCTTGGCCAGAGTGTAGCCCAGTTTGCTGGCCGGGCCTTCCCCCGACATGGTGAGGGAGATATCGATCAGCTGACGTTGGATCTCGAGATCTTCAACAATCACCAACGAGGGTCTGTCAGCAAGGACGATCGACCGATTTCGATATGTGGAGTCGTCCGATGCAGTGTCAGGCTTCCTTCAATGCTAGGCCGCTCGTGCTCTCGTGGTCGCTAGAGGGTTGTAGAATAGATGAAGCAGGTCGATTTAGTGGCGATGTGACGACGTTTGAATATTGTCAATCCCAATTGCAATCGAGAAGCCACACACGATCACGAGCTGAACATGGCAACCAGGCCGTTCATGAAGCGAGAGCGAAAAGAAGAGGTAGAGGAGAAAGGAAAGCTCAATGGCGCGTCTAAAGTGAGTTCTGGCCCTCACCAACACCGGTGGAGGCGTTTGTGCGTGATTCGAAAGCCGATGGCGTAATATCTAAGCTCGCGGGACTTGTACTTGGCGGCGGAAGGTTCTGCACTCTTCTTTTTTCTTTTGATGCGAGCAAGCCGTTGGACGACTTCTGTGCAAAGATGCTGATGTTCTTTTCCTAGCCTGAGCCGAAGCAGACGATGGGCTATTGACAGGTTGACAAGACAGGAGGGACAATTGTAGTCAGTTGAAGAGTCCAAGGTTGGAGCTGGAGCGCTCAGGCGAGGTGGATTTCATTAAATCAGCCCAATATTCATCCGACGAGCGGCCATGGCCAGTTGAGAGGTGGAAACTGGGAGGGCGGAGACGACCCGTTTCCACAGACGGGATAGACCCAGATCTCCGACAGAATGATAATTCAATCAAATGAGAGACTGCGGCTGCAGAGTCCTGCTCATCCAGGGCCACCTGGGGGACCTGGCGATGACCAACTGCGAGACGTCTCAAGGAGTGCTGTCTGAGCAGGATGTGCCGGGGGGTGGGACCCATGGGCGGAGACCTCTGAGCCCTTTCTTCCTTGGTTGTTCCATTTGGGGAGCGTAGAGACCGTCGAGACCGTCGACGGGGGGGGGGGGGGCAGGGAGATGGGTAGAGCGAATGCCACCGATGCACGCGATGAAGGCATTGGATGGTGATGACGATGAAGCGTGGGGTCCAGCGTACTCCGTTCCACCCTGGGGAGGCGGAAAAGCTCATGGACCCGTCCCACCAGATGATCAGATACGGTAAGCATGTATGCATGATTGCATGCATCTTCTCTTTCTTTCTTTCTCTCTCTCTCTCTCTCTTTCCGCCTTATTCGGATCATTCTGGTTGGAATTCTTTAAAATTTGATGAGTCTGATGATGAATATAGTCAATTTGGTCTCGTCGAAGATCATTACAAGTATGATGATGCTGAATTGATCTCTATACCATGCAAGTCTAATTTACGCATTTATGTACATTGTACATACGACGACTGTAAAACGGTTCAGGGAGAAGAATTCCGCAGACAGTCCACTCCTGGCCCCGAGGCGAGTCTCACTCGTACAGCAAGCTTGACCACGACGACCCCCTGCGGTGGTCACGGTCGCCATCCTCCGAGTCAGATGGTGGACGTGTCGACGTATTCCCCCAAGAATTCTCTCGCTCTCGCTGCATCTGCCGCGGTCCGGGCGGAAATGAGCAGCAGCAGCAACGTGGAGCGGGAAGATCACACAATCCACGCCAAGAAGGTCCCAGAAGGTCGTTGCGTCGGGATGACGAATCAGGCCACGCAGCAGCCCCACTGAGGATCAGCAGGAGTGGGTCCACTGGTGCCAATCAGTGTGCTCCATGATGGTGAAATCTGCGGTGCAGATGATGAAAGAACCTTATTGCGCTTGGATCGAGAGCC